ATTGCTAATATTTTCCCTGAAACTATCTATCTAATTTGAACTTATGTCTCTCCATCAAAATCAGGTATTGATGAGAGACTTTTGTGGGAATCTTTTGATCACATGCTAGAAGAAATAGATTTTCAGTCCCCCAGCTCTTGGGTGATCATAGGAGACGATTTTAATGCCCACATAGGTTTTGTTTCTTCAAATAACATGATGTTTGGGATAAGTTTAGAAGATGCTCCTGAAATATATCAGAGAGCTGCTGTGGATACAACTCATAATCATGCTGGGAAACATCTCTGTGAACTTATAATGAAACATAAATTATTGCTATGCAATGGGCATGGAGCTGGGGATCAAGAAAGATATTTTACACACATTTCCCCAAAGTGCATTTTAGTACTATTGACTATATATTAACTTCTAATAATACTCCAATTGAAATACATTTAAAATAATCACAAGAGCAGAGAGTGATCATTTTCCCCTAGCTTTGACCCCTAAGCTAGATCTAAGAGCAATAGAACAAACTTAATACATGATACTTGGTACCAGAAGGTTAAAATTAAATTGCCAGCTCTAGGAGAAAATTAGCATGATCCTTGATTCTTCCAAATTTGAGAATCTAAGGGGAAAAATTATTCTAGAACAGTGCTCAGCAACCTATGGCTCACAGACCGCACTCCCCCGACCCCTGCCGCCACCATTTTGTTTGCCAAAATGGTGGCTGCAATTCATTTGTCCATGCTCACTACTCCTGCACATGCATGAATGAGCCGTAGCCACCATTTTGTTTGCCAAAATGGCAAGGCGACACACACAGCGGTGGCGGCACACATGGTGGCAGCAGCGGCATGGCCAAAATGGCATCCTGGAGGAGCCCCACAGTGGTGCTGAGCCTCTCAGAGGCCTGGTGCTGCCAAGGGAAACCTCCTGGGGGGACTTACAGCGGTGTTGGGCCTCTCAGAGGCCTGTCGCTGCCAAGGGAAGCCTCCTGGGGGGCCCCCGCAGTGGTGCTGGGCCTCTCGGAGGGAGCCCACCTGGGGGGGGCCACTGCCGAGTGCATGCATGTGTGACGTGGGGGGGGGTGGCGGCCGCTATTTTGTTTTTCAACCCCTCCCAGCCCGTCGGCAAAAAAGGTTGCCGACCCCTGTTCTAGAATCAAATAATGTCATAGGAGCATATCAGGACTTAATGTTACAAATAAAACCCTTATTAAGCTCCTCAAAACTCTAGAACTTAAGTCTTGGACCTGATTTGACCAAGACTGCTTAGAGTGCAAATTAAAATTAGTCAATGAACTCAGAAACCTCAAAACAACAAAGGACAAAGAAAATATTTCAAACTATATAACATAATTACATCAAAGTTACAAAAAATTACTTAAAGAAAAGAAACAAAATTACTATGAATTACAGTGGAAGGAACTTGGGGAGGCAGCTATTCAGAAGAACTCTCAGAAATTTTGGCATTTAGTTGAATGTGGTATCAGTTCATTAAGTTATGCTTTGGAGGCTTCAGTGCAAGATAAAGAGTGGGAGAATTATTTTTCTAATATATATAAGTCCCAAATAGGCAGTTCTCCCCAAATGCATCATGCCACATTACTAGACACTCCAGAATGGCTGGATATTTCCTTGAGTCAGATTAAAGAGATTATTGCCAGACAAGCAGCCAATAAAGCTCCTGGTGAAGATATGATACCTGTAGAATTATACAAGGCAAAACTAGAATATTGGGCCCTGATCCTTGCTAAATTGTTCACTTATATAAATCTCACTAGCCATATTCCAGAGGGATGGAATCTGAGTATTATCGCCCCCATATTTAAAAAGGGTGATAGGAAGGATCCTGCCAATTATAGGCCCATTGGTCTTTTGGATATTTCCTCTAAATTGTATGCCAGGTTTTGACTTGAAAAAATAGAATGGGCAGATAGTCAAAATATATTGTCAGAAGTATAAGTAGGCTTCCAAAATTGGAAATCAACAATGGATCTGTGTTTTGTTTTGAACTTCCTTATGTACAAGTATGTCCATAACCTGAAACAAAAATTGTTTGTTGCTTTTATTGACTTGAAGTCTGCATTTGGCTCAGGGCCTTTACAGACTGCCAGAAATAATGCAGCTTGAGGCCACTTTAACTGTCCTGGTTCAGTGCTAGGAATCATGGGAATCGTATTTTTTTTTTCTGGGACATTGAGCCTTCTCTGTCAGAGAGCTCTGCTGCCACAATAAATTACAGCTCCCATGATTCCCTATTACTGAGCCAGGGTGGTTAAAGTGGCCTCAAGCTGCATTATTTCTGGCAGTCTGTAAAGGCCCTCAATCTCTAGATTCTTACTGTGGCAGAAATTGGAGAAGACTGACATTGACCGCCGTTTCTTATTTCTTATTAGATCACTGTATACTGATACATCGTTATAAGTTAAAGTCGATTTGGCAGGTCATCTCATCCAAAAGATCAATACCTTCATGGGAGCTAAGCAGGGATGTATATTAGCATCTTTTTTGTTTAACTTCTACATTAATGATATGGTAAAAGATTTGGAGGGATTACAGTATGCTCCTGTCAAAATTCTCAATGTAAACTTCTCATTATTAATGTATGCAGATGATCTAGTTTTGATTTCTAGAACTGAGGTGGGTCTCAGACGACTTCTTGTGAAGCTCTCATTGTATTGTCAAAAAAATGAATTGATAATAAATTATGATAAAACTCAGATTATGGTAGTTAGAAAGCACTCTGAAAAACATTCCTGGCATATGGATGGTAATATTATAAAGCAAGTTAAATACCTAGGGCTGGTTTATTCAGATACAACCTCATGGAAAGACCAATTGTTAAATGTTAAAGTTCAAGCATACAGATCAGCAAAGGCAATATTAAAGTTTGTTGTAACTAAAGGAAGTAATTTAGTAAATCCCGCCTTAACAGTGTACAAAGCTAAAACAAGGGCACAATCCATTTATGGAGCCGAGGTTTGGGGTACTTTCAGCACCTCAAATAGAAAAAGCTTGGAAATGACACAAAATTATTTTTGAGATCAGTATTAGGTTTATCTAAATATACTTTAACTGCTATGCTTAGATTGGAAACTGGAACGCTAAGCTTAGAAAGCCAAATAGATAAAAGAATCATATGTTATTAGCTCAAGGTCCAGGAGATGGATAATAACAGACTACCCAAAAAAAGTTTAATAGAACTGTCTACTAGTATTCCAATTAAAAACTGGATGCACCATGTTGCTCAAATGTACATCAAATATGGACTCACATCAAATAAACTCAAGGGTCTTCACTCAGACATACAGAACAAAACCATCAAGAAAGCAGTAAAGGATGTAGCCACACAAAGGGATGTATATACTGTGCATCTCTCTCCATGTGCTCCTCTTTATTATACACTTATAGAAAATTGTGACCAGGTAGAGTACTTTAACAATTTAACATTTGTCCAACTCTGGAAAGCTTTTACAGAGCTAAGAATGAACATGATGGACTCAATGTATAGATCTGTAAGGCACAGAGGTATCCAATAAAAGAACATACTTGTATATACAGTTGTTCAGATATAGAGGACCTTGTTCATTATACACTGTTTTGCCCACTTTATGAAGATCCCAGGGAACGATTTTTGAAATCTTTAATTGTACCCAATTCTAGTTGGTGTCCACAAGAAATGGTTTTTCATCTCTTCATGGAGTCTGACACATATGTGTCCTAGCAAGTAGCTTTATTTGCCTTAGCTGCAAAAAAAAAAAAAAAAAAAAAAAAAAAAAAGGAGGAAATTTATATCTGAATTAGCCTTTAGTTGTAAGGGTGATGAACATATATAATGAAGGTATTTGAGATATAATGGTTATTTTAATTGTCAATTTTATAAAAAAAAAATTGTTATGAGCATGACCTGTGCATATTTTATATGTATCTTGCATGTATGTATTGTGGTTATCCCATGAATAACCTGTGATAATCCTGCAATTGCACTAATGGTTTTCACACAATGTCGAGATGAAAAATGATTAAAGTGTCATTATCCCATGAATAACCAGACAAGAAACAGCACCAAATCATTCATGGGATTTTCCTGTGAATGACTTTTTGTTGTTTATTGCCTGGTTGTTCCCTGGTTATTCAAGGGATAATGGCTTTTGTGTTAATCTCATTTTAATTGCATTTTAATATCCATTGTGTGATTTTCACAGGTTAATTACTATTTAAAATCCTAATTTCCTCCTATGTGATAAGCTCCATGGATAGTATTATCAATAGCCAGTGTTCATGGGAAAGAGGCATAGACCTCACAATTTTTTAGAGATTATGCACACAGAGAGAAGTGAAGGCTTTCTTTTGAAAAATAAATCCACAAAGAAAATGGACAGTTGTCTCAAGATGCTCAAAAGATGGTTTTTATTTTCTAAAATCTTGACTTCAGCCTGTGAATGCTCTTTAGGCCTTCTTCAGGAAGGCAATTCAAATTAAAGCTGCAGAAATTTCAGAGCCAGGAACTCACTTATTGACAGAATGAAGGAGGCCTAAAGAGCATTCTCAGGGTGAAACATGTTGGACTTTTGAGCATCCTGAGATGTCTTCTTTTTCTTTGTGGATTTCATTGGATGCTCTCCAGTTCTTGCTTTTACTTTCTTTTAAAAAAGCAAACTAAGTGCTGTCTAACTGGGGAAATTGCTTTGTCCCATAAGGGGAGACACTCTTTTTGTTCAGAAGAAGAAAGAGAAGGGGGGGGGGAGAGACTATTGATCATTGGCTTGCATAGGTTTTTGTTGCTGGTAACAAAGCTGTTAGTTAATCTCTTCTGAACTTCCATGCTACTTGTCTTTTAATTGAACTAGAATGATTGTTGTTGTGTGCCTTCACATCATTTATAACTTGTGGTGGACCTAAAGTGAACTCCATGGGGTTTCCTTGGCAAGATTTGTTCAGAGGGGGTTTGCTATTCCTTTCCTCTGAGGCTGAGAGAATGTGATTTACCCAAGGTCACCCAATGGTTTTCCATGGCTGAGCAGGGATTCAAAGCCTGATCTCCAGAGTCCTAGTCCAACACATAAACCACTATGCCACATTGACTCTCTCCTCTGATCTTCCAAACTGCTTGTCTTTTAGTTGATCTAGAATTATACTGATGACTACTTCCCAGAATGATGGTATATATTTGCAGCTGTTACAAAACCTTACAAATGTTTATTTTGATGTTTAACATGATGTGACATCAAGTAGGTAAAAGGATGTGTTGGGAAATAGGTGTGTGTGCCTCTTTTCTGGTCTATGCTATTAGCCATACTTATAAATCCCCAGATTTCTCATGTAAAACAGCTTATGCTACCAGTCAAAATAATGCTTTAATACACAACACACAACACACATCATGAAATCAAAAATAGCTATGGGCACCTTTAGCACATGGCTGGACTTTGGTGATGTGACAATGAAACAGCAGTAATATTTGATTAATTAGTCTTCCAGCTTGTGAGTGTTATGAAGATAATGGGAAGCAGAGAAAGATAATTATGGAACATGAAAAGCATAATCTAAATCTATCAGCAGTGCATAACCTTTAAATTAGAGATGTTATAGTTAACCTTGGTGCCTCAGTTCCCTGGGCTTTTCTTCCTGCCTCAGTAGAAACAGAAAACTTTAGTGCTGTCCAGAAAATAAATTTTTATCGGAAGTGAATTGTTGTTTAGCTATTTGTCATGAAGGGCCCTTGCATACCAGCCCAAAGGGCCATCCTGGGGGTAGAGTTGGGGTGGGGCAGCCACATGCCAGCCACCCCAACCCTATCCTCATGCCATCCTGCTCTTTTAGGGGCAGCAAAAGGAAGGATTTGGGCCACAGTGTGGGGTTGCCACGGCCCCAATCCACCACTCTCTGGGGCAGCTGTGTGCCCCAACCCAATGATTCTTTGGCACCAACAAGATATTACTGTAGGCATATCACATATATCGAGAATTAGGATGTACATTTTTGTACCTGTGGAAATGCATTTATTTTTCTAGAGAGTACTGTCACAACCACTTTATCTTCTCAAACTATTTTTCCTGGATGGCAGCACTATGGGCCTTTCAATCCCTCTGCCACCAATCTGTAATGGTGACACCCTCAGTCACCTTACTTATTTCCCCTCAATGGCAGCTCAAAGGGTTTTTCCTTCCCAAATACCACCTACAGGTGAAACTGACTCACTCCTTTAACTTTATCAAGGGACTTAACCCCAAACTGTCTTTTTAAATGTTGGTATCATGTTTCTTTATTAGAATTCCAGACAAGCCTTTTTAAAAATAATATTAGAAGTTTATTTGAAAGTTAACTTCAATGATGTACCACTAGTATGAGATGGTTAATACAGTTGATACATCATGGTCTTGCTTTACTTGTTACATGTTGTTACAATTATAACTTCTTATATTTATATTTGGTAGTTACATTAACTCTAGAACAAAGCTAACTCTTTAAGATAATATATTCCATACACTTGTTTATTGTTAGTGCTTCACTTTTTACTTTAAAAACTTCTCTTCCGATAACAGTTACCCCAGCACCCTCTCAGTTCTCCTTTGGATACTTTGTATAACCTATTCCTAAACCAGCCACCAAGGCTCTTTATATACTTCAGGATACTTTATAACCTAACTCCCCCTTGGAGTTCTTTTCTTTACTGAGTCCCTCACTATCTAAATCTAACTGTCACTAACTGGCTCCAACTGTCCTATTTATCCTCTCCTAACTTCAATCTGATTGGCTGGCACCTGCCTCGTCCCTATTGGATGATGCCACAGCTTCTCTTGCCTTGCTAAACCCTGCCTTCTCTCCACAAGTACATCCAACATTATGTGTTGAATATGGTTGTGTGGTTGTCATGGTAGATCTTGGAAATTATCCATGGTGTTTGCAGTGATGGAAGCAATGCTGTCCAATTTTAATTCTCCAGTATGTCCATAGTAGCAGTGAGAGCTCCCATTGGTCTGATTCAAATTGCTAGTCCCAGCTAGACTAGACCCACTGAATCAATTGTTGAATAGTAAAGCATCACTTATGGGCCTTTACAGACTGCCAGAAATAGTTCAGCTTGAGGCCATTTTAACTGTCCCAGCTCAGTGCTAAGGAATCATGGGAACTGTAGTTTATTGTGGCACCAGAGCTCTCTGACAGAGAAGGCTCAATGTCCCAGAAAAAAATACAATCCCCATGATTCCTAGCACTGAGCCAGGACAGTTAAAGTGACCTCAAGCTGTACTATTTCTGGCAGTCTGTAAAGGCCCTTATGTAAGACTTAATTCAATGGATGCACTTTAACACTAGTCTAAAAAGTATAAGGATCCTATACTTTTTCCTTATTTTCCTCACCAATTTTGATACACTTACAAAAACATAAGGTTCTTTTTTTCTTGCCTTTCTATAAAAAGAAAGCCATTTTCAGAATTATCTACAACTATTGTTGTTGTTGTTGTTGTTGTTGTTATATTTATTTCTATTCTACCTTTTGCCCCAGATTGGGCCTCTTACAGCCATTAAAATCTACAGGATAAAAAAAATTAAAACACTATTAAACAATACAAAAAAATTAAAACCAGATTAAAACATAAATTGTTACAAAACACATACACACCAGCACAACACTTAGCAATATCCAAGATTATATAAGATGGGTCTTATATAATCACTCCTCAAATGTCTGTTGGAAAAGGCTTTACTTGTATGTAGAAAAAAAGCAGGGAAGGTGCCAGTCTAATTTCTCTGGGAAGGGAGTCCCACAGCCTGGGGGCAGCCACTGAGAAGGCCCTGTCCCATGTTCCCACCAGATGTATGTGTAAGGAACATGGGGCAGAGTGAAGGACTTGCCTAGCAGGTCTCAGGAGTTTGATTTAGCCACTGTTTTCCATTCACAAAGTTCTTGACCAGGGGTAGGCAACCTTTCCCCTTTAAGGGCCGAGGGACTTCAGCTCCCAGAAGCCTCAGCCATGTTGGCCAATAGTCCCATGTTGGCCAATAGCTCCTGGGATTCTGGGAGCTGAAGTCCCTCGGCCCTTAAAGGGGAAAGGTTGTCTACCCCTGTTCTTGACCATGCATAATGGGAAATGCAAAAACCATAATCAGTATGCTGCTGCTCCCCTACAAAATCTCCCAAGAATGAAGGGTGGCTGCTGCCATTTATAATGGTGAGCCCACCCACCTTATACACATCATTTTAAAAAATGCTCCAAGAATTCCAAGTACAATACAGTAAAATTATTTCCTCATCCTCCAATTTCTTGATCTACAAATAGGATGAAGAATTTCAGAGGATTGGGACTGGGACTGATAAATGCCAAAGGCTCAATCCAACCACCAGCAATAACTTCATTTTTTTACCATATTTGATATGAAAGAAATAGCAATATGCTTAACTCTTCATTAAGTTTCATTAACTCTTCATTAAGTTCAAGTACTTAATGCTGGCTTTAAAAACCTGAACAGGCAGGAAATCTTAAGAGAGAAGTGATTAGTTCAAATCTACTGCCCACCTTGTTCTACAGAGGGCTCCTCAGGGGCAAACATTGCAACTTCTTTTTCATGCTTCCTAAGAATTCTAGGTCACACAGAATATTTCTCCAAACTGATACTGTGTGAAATAAACCTTCGTTCATTTCATCACCGAGGAATCCCATCTTGCTTTTATTTTGTCGGCTTTTGCTTCTTCAATCAAAGATTCACCCAGATCACTGTGATATCTATGCATTCTTTCAGCAGGTTCTTTTCTTCTTACACAGCTAGCCACCATGCATGGGAGGAGTGCCAAATTCTTTTGTCTGTATTTCCAATTATATATTCCCAAGAGTGAATTATCTAACTGTTCCTGAACAGAATTATGTGGGAACGATTTCAAAAGAGTTTGCTTATCAATCCCTTATCTACTGAGGGAATGGAGTAATAGAGGTTATTCTTTCCTTTTTCCACATCCCTCCATTGTTGTATCTGTATTCTCCACAGTCTGTCTGAAGAATATGGAGGATCAGGAATGTCGAGTTTGTAAAAAGCACAAGAGTCATATATGTAGCCAGCAAGCACATTCCTACACTAAATTTTCTGTTTCATGTCATTTATCAAACCTTCCCTCTTGCAGCAAAAGTTCTGGGACACATCATTCCTGGGTTTCTTAGGCATACTGTGTTTTACACACCCATACAGCCTGCTTGAAATTATCAAGCCATCAGCAGTACATTCTGAAGTTCTATCTATAAAGATCTATACTACAACTGTATTACAGATGAGCAGCGATTTTAATGGTTTAACTTTGATTTCCTGAGCTTAGCATGTCTACATATCATTTCTGGATGAAGGATATTCCCAGACAGGTAGCTCCAAGCACTACATAATAATTGCTTTTCTGCAGTAAGCTACAAGCAGAATTGCAATGAATTTTCATTTATGTGTGTGTGTGGGGGGGGGGGGGGGGGGGGTTAATTATTTTTTCATGTGTACATCTATACTATAGAAATAATGCAATCTGACACAACTTTAACTGCTATGGTTCCATTCAACAGAATCCTGGGATTTGTAGTTTTGTGAGGCACCAGCACTCTTTGGCAGAAAAATTGAAAGACCTTGTCAAATTATAAATCCCAGGCTTCCATAGGATGGAGGCTTTGTCTGCACAGGCAAAAAGGGTCACATACCCTTTACTGGCAGCATCCTGTTTGAATGATGCACAGCCTAAACCCCAATTCTGGAGTGAGTTGCCCAGACAATGTTGAGCACATTCCGCATGAGAGCCAGAGCATAACTAAGTTAAAATGATTGCTACAGATCTTGTGAGAAGATCCAGAGCTCTCCATTCACATGCCATGGTGGCGTCTGCACAGACATCCTACTGGGCCATCTAGAATATCCATTACTCGAGACCTCACTCTGACCTCAGAAGTCAGTGACTATAGCAGTGGTGGATATGCTGGGTAGCCAGCAGGATAGCAGTGCAGACAGGTGCCACAGCATGGGAGTGGAGAGCCAGGTAATGGGGGCAGGGCAGGGCAGCTGCAGTGTAGGATAGTACAAGCTGTCCTCTGGAGTTTCGTGGCTAGTGTAGACAAGGC